TGATAAAGTACCCAACCACTGCTTAAAATTCAGATTAAGGAGGCGACATGGAACATTGACATTGCAAAATCCAGGAATTTCAAATCTTCACACATCCAGCCTCAAGCTACATGAAACAGAACATCAGGTTGTGAGGAAAATACATCATTATCTATGGAACGACAAGTGGATGTCAAGGCAGCTTGGGCATTGGTATCCATAAACTCCAAAGTAAAGTGAGGATAAAACTCAAGCATTTATGAGCAGTATGCATGACATCAGTATGGCATCAAGCATTTCAACTGCGGGCAGGGCAGCAGGGAGAGTGCATGATTAGTCCAGTGGTTACAGCAGAAATCTTCCAGGAAGCTCACCAAGAAAATTGGCTCTTAATTCCAAATGAATAAAGAACGATACAGACTGTCTGACTGACAGATTCTTATTGACCACACACAAGACATCCAATGCACTGAAAGCCAATATTCAATCTGTATGGTATAGTTGGGATTTTGTGTGCGTGCATGGATGTATGGGATTTAGACTGTAAAACTGAGCTGAGAGTGGGTGGGAAGATGGCCAGCAACAGCTGTGTTTCCAACTAATATGCTGCTAATCTTTGTTATTGTGGTTCTGGCTCCATCTAGAGTCAAAAAGTTGGTCTACTGCAACCAAGGCCTTATATAATACAGCATCTGGATGTATTTTGTTTTACAAGGCACAAAAGATTGGAGAAGTTTAGATCTTTACCTTTCGATCTCATGCTGATTGATTGTTTGAAAATTATCTTGCAATATTTCCATAGTACGTACAGCAAGATCCCTTTGTACTTATGGTATATGCGTCACAAATGTAATTATCAGATACATCGAAATTCAGCTCAAGAGGACCCTGTCTTTCAATGCTATTAATGCTGAATTGCCTGTAAAATGGTGTGTACACAGCAGAAGTAATTTTGGTGAGCGCACGCAACAAAGTTCACTGGAAATCTATGAAATGGGAAGCCTGACAGCTTGGTTCTAGCACTGCTGTTTTGGAACTCAACACTCCACCTAATACCCTCTCTTAATCTTGCATAGCTGAACATAGGCCTGTGACCAGCGGTGTTCCACAGGGATCAGTTCTGGGTCCTCTTTTGTTTGTCATTTATACAAATGAATTGGATGAGAATATAGAAGGCATGGTTAGTAAGTTTGCGGATGATACAAAATTGGTGGCATTGTAGACTGTGAAGGAGGTTTTCTAAGATTAAAAGGGATCTTAATCAAGTGGGTCAATAGGCTGAAAAAATGACAGATGGAGTTCAATTTGGATAAATGCGAGGTATTACATTTTGGTTCAACAAACAAGGGTGGGGCTTATACAATTAATGGTAAGGCCTTGGGTAGTGCTGTAGAACAGAGAGACCTAGGGGTACAGGTACATAATTGTTTGAAGTTTGCATCACATATGCGCAGGGTGGTTAAAAATGCATTTGGCACACTTGCCTTCATTGCTCAGTCCTTTGAGTATAGGAGTTGGGAAGTCATGTTGAGCTTGTACAGGACATTGGTGAGGCCTCTTTTGGAATACTGTGTTCAGTTCTGGTAACCCAGTTATAGGAAGGATATTATCAAGCTGCAGAAGGTTCAGAACAGATTTACTAGGATGTTGCCAGGTATGGAAGGTTTGAGTGTTAAAGAAAGGCTGGATAGGCTGGGACTTTTTTCACTGGAGCGGAAGAGGTTGAGAGATGACCTGATTGAAGTTTACAAAATAATGAGAGGTATAGATTGAGTTAGTGGTAGTTGTTTTTTTTCCCTAGGATGCGGTATTTCAAGACAAGGGGGTACATTTTTGAAGTGAGAGGAGAGAGATTTAAAAAAGACATCGGGGCAACTTTTTTACACAGAGGGTGGTTCGCATGTGGAATGAACTTCCTAAGGAAGTGGTGGATGGTGGTACAATTATGAAGTTTTTATAAGACATTTGGATATGTACATGAATAGGAAAAGTTTGGAGGGATATGGGCTAGGAGTAGACAGGTGGAACTAGTTTAGTTTAGAATTTTGTTTGGCATGGGCCTATTGGACAGAAGAGTCTATTTCTAGTGTTGTATGCCTCTATGACTCTATCAGAAGGAAGTGCTTTTTAAACAAACACCAACAGCATACATCAACAACAACATGTAGGATAGCTGCTGACTGCATCCTATTAGCTGCTGCAGGGAACAAAGGAGCATTTGGTTATTTGAGAATTTTTTAAGCTCCCCATGCACTTTTTACATTCCTGTGGGGACTCTACAGCATTGAGTCCAATGTAGCTGCCATAAACATCCGTTTCTTTTCTTAATCTTAACCTATACGTCCCTTGACATTCAGGGTTCTGCGGTCTTCGTCCTACCCCTTGTCACTATGGGAATATATTTGCCCTGTATGCTCACTATTTCCTCCTTGAAAGCCTCCCTTTACTCTGACATAGTTTTAACTGCAAATTGCTGCTGTCAATCCACTTGGGCCAAATCATATATTAACTGAGTAAAATTGGCCTTTCTCTCGTTTAAAGCCTTCAATCCTGACCAGTCTTTCTCACAACTATCCTAAAGCTAACTGCTTTGTGGTCACTATCTCCAAAGTGCTCCACAGCAATATGGATTCCACCAGGCTCATTTCCAAGTATTAAATCCAGAACTCCCCCTCCCCCACTGGGTTTTCTACGTACCGGCTAAAAACATTCCCCTGGATGCAATTTAGGAATCTTGCTCCTTCTTTACTTGCTCAGTGGAATTATCCCAGTTAATAATTGGATACTTTAACATCTGCTACCTACTGTTACTGCCTTATTATTCTTACACTTCTCTGAAACTTTATTACATATTTGATCTCTAACACTCCTTGATTGTTTGGGTGTTGATAGTACACACCCAGCAAGGTGTCTGCCTCCTTTGTGTTTTTTTCAAACTTCTACCGATACGGCCTTATATGATGACCCTTCCCAGTTACCAATCCTCCTCACTGCTACAATTGATTTTTTGATCAAAGTTGTAAACCCCCTTCTACACCCCTCTCTATCTTGCGGGAATACCCTATAACCAGGAAAGTTGAGCTGCCAATTCTGCCCATCCCTCAGCCAAGTCGTGATCATTGTTGCGTGATATCATACTTCCACATGTTCATCTCTACGCTCTGTTTGCCTATCTTATTCCTTGGGCTCCTTGTATTAAAATATTTTGCATTTACCCTTGCTAAACTCAATTCTTTATTATCCAATCTGCATTTCCTCTGCCTTCAAAACTCACTCAACAGCATTTTAACTCTTACATCCATCTCAGCCTCTCTCCCTTCTGCCAGTCCCCACCAATCTAATTTAAATTCGCCCCAACAGTATTAGTAAATGTCCCTGGAGAACGTAGGTTCCATTCCTGTTCAGATATAAACTCGGACAGTTCCTACCTCCCCCAGAAATGGTCCTAATGCCTGAGGAATCTAAAGTCCTCCTTCTTGCACCATCTCCTCAGCTACACATTCCACTAATCCATTTATTCCTACGCTCACTGCTGTGTGGCTCTAGGCGTAGTTCAGAGAATACTAACTTTGGTGCCACGCTTATCAATTTCTGACCGAACTCTCTAAAATCTGACGATAAGATCTCATTTCTCTTTCTTCCTCTGTCATTGGTCCCAACATGAAGCACAACGTCTGGTTGTTCATGCATCCCCTTCAGAATGTCCTGTAGCTGTTCTATAACGTCCTTGTCCCTGACACCCAGGAGGCAATGTAACATCCTAGAGTCACATCTACAGCCACAGAATTACCTACCTACTCCCCTCACTAATGAATCCCCTCCCACTATTGCCCTTCCACACTTCTTCCACTCTCTCTGAGCAGCTGGAGTACTCCGAGTGCCATGGCCTTGGCTCTCACTGGCCCCCCACAGATGAACCTTCAATCCCACTGGTTTCCAAGGCTGACAAACACTTTCTGAATGAGATGCACTTATGGGTTTGCCCCATTACCTGTCCATTGTCCCCTTCTTCTGTCCAGTGGTCATCCATTCCCTCTCTCTCTTCCTGAAGCTGTGGGGTATCCTGAAAAGTGCTATCCACAACCTTGTGAATGCGCTGTGAGTCCCCCCACCCTCCCAGCAGCTGCTCAAACTCCAAAACCCCTAGTGCAAGTTGCTCCAGCTGGTTGCATTTCCTGCACATCATCATCCAGGCCAACAGGAGCATATGGATTTCTCACATAGGGCAGGATGTGTGAATTATGGGCCTGAGCTCCCCATGCATATCTTAACTCAATGGAATACAGACCCTAGATTTTACTTTATCCTTACTCCTTAGTTAAGTATAGATTAGAAAAACCTTATTCTTGTTTATGCTGGGCAAACAACCAATACCCTAACCTTATCAAGTGACAAAATTCAGTTTTGAAGTTCTAAAATATTAACAATCTGTGTAAAGATTTTAAGCTGTACTTACAGTCGTAACTGAAACCAGTATCCAGTCATGAGAGTCAAGAATTATCCATGACTTACTGACAGGAAAAGAAATTGCTGGAGAATTGCAGCATATCTGGCAGCGTTTGCGCAGAGAAAACAGAGTTGACGTCTCGAGTCCAGTGACTCTTCTTCAGGACACTTTACAATTCTTCCATGAATTATCCACCCGGTCTTTTGAGACTTTGACTTTGTCGAAGCAGCTCTGTCTGCTCCTGGGACCTCCGCACTGTCACTGCTCCGTTTCACTTTACTGTCCCCGCTTCTTCCCCACCTGTCTGTCTGCTTCTGGGACCTCTTCGCTATTGCTGTTCCCTTTAACATCACTGCAGCAACTCCTCAGTCCCACATAACTCTGAGGTCAGTCTGTCTGCTTCTGGGTCCGAAGCCTAGCCTCCCCAGCTCCCATGCTGTCGGACTTTCTGCTGAGTTTGAGATGCCTTCACAAAACATTTGCTGCAAAACATGGGTGCAGTAATTTGCATTTCCCTTGGCAGACAGAATGAGCAGGGGACAAGCTGCTAGATGAGGGAAGAGGAGTGGGGTTCTCAGAGGGAGGTAATAATGTAGCTACCCAGGGTGCTCAGGAAGCAATTCTCCCAGCTGAGCCTCACTGAGAACGGTATGTCATATACCTCCACTTTATTAAGAGCATTCTCCCTGAAATCGACCACCTGCTGCAGCCCCAGCTGTAGCCTCCAAGCGCTGCCTGTGGCTGTGAAAATGACCATGAAGCTTAATGCATCTGGCTCCTTCCAAGCTGGAGGATGTAGCATTTGCAACATCTCCAAGTTCACCATTTGCTGTTGCATAAGGATCTGCACTGCAAGAGAACAAATACATTTTTTTTTGCTGTCTTGCCAGAAAGAAGCAGATGGAGGCACATGTGACATAGCAAGGATTGTGACTTCCCCACTGTGCAGGGTGCTACCGAATAGGCAGATAATGCTTTGCAGGCATCACATCCCAACACTATCGCAACTGGAAGGGATTCCACTCCCTCAGCAGCTGATAGGTTAGAACGTTGGTGAATACCTAGTATCATGGCAAGAGACGGGATCTCTTTGCCTGTCGCAGTCTGTTGTGCTTTCTGTATGTGAGCCACCACAGCACAATAAGGAACGACGACTGATGACAAAGAGTATGCTTTGATGATACAGACAATCTTCATCACCATTTATAAGGTGACAGCATGCATGTAAAAAAAAATGCTGCCCCACAAAATGCTTCCCAGTAGGGTGCCTTAACAACGTTTCTGCCTGCCTGAACCACCGGAAAACAGCCCTGCAGTTCTCAGAAGAACTCGAGTCAAGTTTTATTGTGGCGCACTGTATGTTGCACAGTCTCACCATCAAGAGGAGATAGCCACTAACACCAGTTATAGGCAACCAGCTCAGAAGGCAAAAGAAGAGTAAAAGGAAAAGGAGAAAGAGATAGGATGAAGCCCCCATCGCCATTTTTGCACCTGGTCTCCATGAACAGCTCGACCAACTTTGAGACACATAGCTGCAATTCCAATTCCTCATTCATTGAGAGTAGCACACCTTACACTTCCTCTGTTATGGACCATCCCAACATCTGTTCAGCCACAGTGATGAGATAAATACTACCATAAAATAAACATTCCAACGAAAGTTATGAATCAAACCATTGCATTTGAGCAAGCAAACACTCCTGCTCGTTTCCTTTACTTCTCGGCCTAATGCTGAATGCTTGTTTAAAAATCAAGGAGAACGATCTTGCTACATTTCTCTAGTACGCACCATCTGGCCCATTTGTACTTGTAAACTGTCCGTCATACATGTGATTTACAGACCCGGTGAGATTCAGCTCCGGGCCATCAAATTTTTCAACTCTATGAGTGCTGCTCCACCTGCAAATAAAAATTGTGCCTGCACTTCAGGTGCATACGTGGTGACTGACGCCATTTTGGTGAGGGCACACTTGAGTCTTACTTAGCCTAGTCCTCTTCTGCAATGCTATCCCTGTGGCTGCAGCATAGCTGGTGGAAAGCTGCTGACTTTCAGCTGGAGAGCTTGCAGATGACTTAGGAATTCCCAGCTTCAGGCTGCAGAAGGCAGCAGCAGTCTGTACTGACTGAATGGCTGAGGGGCAACACTCAGGGCACTGGTCAGGCAGCAGTTTTAATTTGAGCTGCGTACTGTCACTGTCAATCCCCCCTGGGGGTGGGCCTGTGCAATCCTAGTGATGTGGTGGGTGACAATTAATGGACTGCTGTGGCACCCTGCAAGCCCCTTGAATGCTTGTATCCATTAGAGCAGCAGTCAGGGGTGACACAGCAGCGAGCTGGGGTTTCATGAGCTCAGTCTGGGCTATTTGGTGGACGCTGCTTGTGCTGAGATGAATGCTGCATCACGGCTGGGTTCAGGAACAGGGTTGGCCACCACATCCACTCCAAACGGATGGGCTCCAAGACATGGGCATCGGCTTTTGTGAAGTTGGTACCAGTCCCCTCCATGCCCTCTGACAAGAAAGAGTAGGCTTCATAGGATAAACTCACCAGTCTTCTTCTGTAAGCTGCCTGGATCAAGTCTTCATCTGAGTGTTCTGCACAGAACTCATGGTTAACTTCACAGTGTGGCAAGCTTGCACCTATGTTAATTTTGCCCCCTGCCCTGTCTCTTGGGCAGTTACTGACCATTGCCAACCTGAAGAGGTCACAAAGTCAAGAGCTAAGCTGATGGCTGCAAGTGGGAGTATGAATAATGGTACTTTTTCTTCAACGCTGTTTTGTTGCTGTTCCGCCACTGCCTGGACACATTGCAGTTCATGAGAATTGGAAAGGAGATTGATATAAGAGTGCATAAGTACACCACTGCAGCTTGTAAAGCAGTAGAGAGTGTGGGACGAGGGGAAGTGGAATGCTAGGAGGGGGATAAGGTATGAGGAGACTATCTTCACACTTTTGGAGGAATGAGGGGGATCTCACAGAAACCTGTAAAAGTTCTAACAGAACTAGAAACGGTAAACACAGGAAGGAGCTCTGATGAAGAGACATCTAGACTTGAAACGTCAGCTTGCTCTCTCTCCATGGATGCTGCCTGACCCGCTGTGATTTCCAACATTTTTTGTTTTCAGTACAGATTCCAGCATCTGCAGTAATTTGCTCCTACAAGGATGTTCCCAATGACTGGGGAGCTCAGAACCAGGGGCCACAGTCTATGGATGCGGGGTAGGCCATTTAGGACTGAGACAAAATAAATTGTCTTCACCCGGAGAGTGGGGAGCCTATGGAATTTTCTGCCACTGAAGTGGTTGAGGCCAAAACATTGAATGTTTCTAAGAAGGAGTTAGCTATAGTTCTTCAGACTAAAGGGATGAAAGGGAGGAAGTGGGAGCAGGGTGCTGAGTTGAATGATCATATGGAATGGTAAAGCAGGATTAAAGGGCTGAATGGCCTACTTCTGCTCTTATTTTGCATGTTTCTCCTGAATTCCCTGTGGGTTTATAACCAAACACTTTATACTTATGGATTTACAGCCCATTGTCCACAACTCACTCACAAGTGGAAACATTTTCCCTTTGTCTACATCTATAAACACTTTGCATAATCTTAAAAGCCTCCATCAGATCATCAGGGTTGATTTTCTTTGTTTCTACGTTGTGTGCGGTACTGTGGGCCTCATTGTAGGAAGGATGTGACAGCCAGAGAACATGACAGAGTGTAAAGATTCACTGGAATGCCATCAGGAATCATGTTATAGTCGTAAAGAATTGGAGCATTTTCACATGAAGCATGACGATGAAAATGATCAGGATATCGAATGTCCCATTAATGGTGGCTGTTGAAGCTGATACTATAATACTATTTCAAAGTGAACAGAATAAGCATTTGTAAACGTGAAATATAAAATGATGTGGGTAATTATACAAGTTGAAGTGGCCAAAGTTAAGGCCGTTGCCGTTGATAGGGTTCAGTCCATCAAGAATGATCGTGTTAACACAGCAGGCCAGGCAGCATCAGAGGAGCAGGAAAGCTGATGTCTCGAGTTGGGCCCCTTCTTCAGAGAATTATAGCGTGTTCCTTTTAATTCACCTTCTCGTATTACACAACCCTTCATTCCACAATCTCTTTTGATTTCTAAATGTCGATAATTTTTGCATGCTTAGTTTACTTTCCCCGTGACCCCTATCCCTAATCAATTCTTTTCAATATTACCCCTAACCTTGACTCATTTGCCTTCCAGATCCTCAAAAACTAATGCCTAGGCAGGAAGGCCAAGGGGAGCAGGACCCTGGTGATAATGAAACACACCCTACTGGCTCTGCAGGCCCTTTTCTTGAGGGCATAGAGACCACATCAGGTCAGTGAATCACCAGGCAGGAGCAGCTAGAATCATGCCCAGGGACCCTATATACCTGCTCCATGGATGGCATGTGGCACCTGATCTCTACTGCAAGGGACCCAGATGAGGACTTCAGATGGGTAGAGTACACAAGAAGGCTGATGAGCATGCATACAGGGATGGTTGGTGCCATTGGCAGGGGCGCTAGCAATGCTGCTGGCATCGTCAAGGAGCAAGGAGGACCCTGGCACCAACATGGCACAGAGACTGAGCACACCATTTATATCACAGAAATGGTGATTAACCTCACAAGGAAACTTGCAGACCCAACCAGGATGGAGCAACAAATGGCTGATGCCTCAATCTCAACTGGGACACAGGCAGATGTTAACCCACGATCTGAGTTCAGCAGCAGGAGCTCGGCCTAGGGTCGTGAGGCTTCAGCTTGGTATTTTAGAGTGCTGCCATCACGGCTGCTGGACACAGCAAGTGTTGACAGAGCCTTTCACACTCTCACAGCAGATTGCTGGGATTACTAAAACAATACCCAGGGAAGGGACGGTGACTCTGTGGAATAATAACCCGCCGGAATCATGCCCAGGGACCGTATGCGCCAGCTCACTGGAGGGCGATGTGGCACTGGATCTTACAGCAGGGGACTCAGATGAAGACTTCAAATGGGTAGTGTCCCCCAAGCAAGATAGCATTTGAGATCCCACCAATGCAGCTACTGTTGCCAATCAGCATGCCAGGCTGTTTCTCATGTCAAGATGTTATAGTCTGAAGTCAGGCCTTCCAGGTCCAGAGCTTAGGGCATCTGTAGTCTCCTCTAGAGAAAGATACAGTCTTCCAGCAATGACTGGACAGCTCAACCAGTGGCAATAGGCCACACAAAGGCAGGCACTAAGGGAATACAAAGGGATGATTAGTTCAGTTTTCTATGGGATATTGGATGGTCTGCTGGTAAAGTCAGTATCAAATGTACATTTTGTGGTTATCTTTTCATTTCAGAATTTGATGAGGGTATACTGCGGGACTGCGCTGAAGTACAATGGAGATGTGATGCCCAGATTTCAGAAACTAGAGGTGAAATTGATGGCCAAAACGTCATTGTGCGCCTGCCTCATCCCTTTCTTTTCCTCCTTGATCCTAGGTGATCAGCGAATCAGATTGGAGAGGACACAGTCGACCACCACCACTGCCTGAATTCTCTCTGGACACTGTTCGATCGGGTCAGGTCCTCTTTGTACAGGAGATAGAGGGCATGAGAGCAGAACCTGCTCACCTTGCCAGGCCCCTCCCCATCACATGTGGCTCAACCTTCACAGACCTATTGTAGTGACACAGCCTATAGCAGTGGAAACAGCAAATGTGATACCCCTTCTTTGCACAGGGCTTGTAAGTGACTCATACTTCTGTTGGGTAAGGGGCCCTCCACAGTTCCTCTGTTAGCATTTCTCAAAGCCCTGCAAAGATGGCTATGGACCTGTCCCCAGGCTGCGTTAGCATTGCAGAT